AGAATTTTTTTTATTATTTAATCATACTTTTTTCAACTATAACCATTTTAAGATGTTTATGTGCATATTCTTGTTTTTAGTAACCGTATATTGTTAATTATAACGCATTTTAAAAAATTGGGATCATTGATAGCAGTAAATCGCGGACGTCTATTCCCACAGTATAATAATAGTACATATTCTACAAAGTAAGTATTGTTGTCAACATTGTTTAATATAATTTCTGATTATTTTAATGTAACAAATAAATAATATTAATTATAGGGTATTGTTTGGAAAGGATGATGATGAAGTTTTGGCTGCTGTCCGATATATAGCAGAGCAAATTAATGTGGAAAAACCATTGTTAATTTCAATATCTTTGAAAGATTATGATATAGATACTTTAAAAGCTATAGTTACAGCTATAAATAATATAAAATCATGGTGATAGTATAAAACATAAACATGAGCTTAATATTTGGTCAATTAATCATTGGTCCACCTGGAAGTGGTAAAACCACATATTGTCATGCCATGGCTACATTTTTAGAAAAATTAGGCAGAAAAGTGGCTGTTATTAATATTGGTGAAAATTAATAAAATTTCAGCAATTAATAATAATCAGTTACAAATTATGCATATTTCAATTATATCATTTTTTAGATCCTGCAAATGAAAACATGAAATATACACCAGCAGTAGATATATCTGAATTAATAAAACATGAAGAAGTAATGTCACACTATGAACTTGGTCCAAATGGAGCTTTAGTTTATTGTATGGAATTTTTAGAAGCTAATGTTAAATGGTTGATTACAAAACTTCTAAATTTGAAAGACCATTATCTTATTTTTGATTGCCCAGGACAGGTATATATGAAGGTTGTTTCAGGTTTTAATAGAAAAATTCAAAGAGCATGTAATGTTGGTAAAAACATTTTGTTTTTATGTGGTTTCCTTATGGTAAGTTAAAGAGAGTTTTTCTTACCTTAAAAACTTACTAAATCAATCTACTAGAAACAAACATATTTATATGAATTGATTTTCTTATTTTAACTGCCTTTATATGTTCCCGAAATTAAAACCTAGAACACTCTATATATATAAATTTTACATTATAAAATTTGTTACATTTTGTATTTTCAATTTAACATTTATAAACAGGTCGAATTATACACACATCATAATTCAGTTAGTGCAATTGCTGAAAAATTAGGGCAAAATTTAGTAAGATTATGTAGTGTGCACCTTGTTGATTCCCATCATTGTAGTGATGCTGGTAATTATTATACTTACTACAGTTCTATAAACAAATTTATACATTAAATGTATTGGCATATAATATTTATTTGTTGGGTTATAGGTAAATATTTATCTTCTTTAATTCTTTGTACAACAACCATGTTAAAATTAGGCTTACCTCACATTAACATAATGACAAAGTTTGATGAAATGAAAAAATTTAGTCACTGTCTAGATTTTAACATAGATTTTTATACAGAAGTGCTAGACTTAAAATATTTGTTAGATAAGTTGGATGAAGATTCGTTCACATCAAAGTAAGATTTTTCCTGAGTTTTAATATTTTGAATAAATCGCTGCAAATATTTAAATTTAAAAATAAAATTTCAAATACTTTTAGGTATAAAAAACTAAATGCAGCTTTTGTGTCATTGATAAAAGATTATAGCCTTGTTAGCTTTATACCACTGGATGTTTCTAATCAAGCATTATTACTACAAGTAAAGAATGCAGTAGACAAGGCAAATGGTTATATTTTTGGTGGAAATGAACCGCAAGATGTACAAACTTTACTTGCATGTGCTGTGGGATTAATATCCCTTAATATATTAAAAAAAGAGGTACAGTAAGTTAATAAACATATTTTTACTATTTTAATCATTTTTGGACTAGTCTGTTTGACTAACAAATATTTGTGCTAAATCATCATAATCATATACCCTTTTCAAAAATGTGTCCATCAACTTCAAACCGGAAATAGTCTAAAACATTAAAAACAATAAGTAATATGTTAATATTTTGATGATGTTTATATAAAAACTACTTACAATAATGCCATTATGTAATGGTATCAAACATAAAGGAATATCTATTGAAACTCCAGGCTTCAATGTTCCTATCATTGTATTGGATATTCCACACCATGCTATAGAGCTACTTGATTCCAAACTTAACATTAAATCCATACTTCTTTCACTGATGACACAGAAATGGAATTTAATATATTATAAAATTTTACTTAAAAAGTTTTAAGAGTAAATCATGTCAATTATTAATTCTGATAACATTTATCAGAATTCAGAACAATATATTTTGTTTTCAATTCTCTTCATTCATACAATGTGAATACTTACGATGTATTTATTATATGGCAATTAAAATTAACTGATTGTTCAAGGTAAACTGTTGAAGGGATATTTTTCATAGTAACTCTTATATCACCATATTCAGGTGCCTAAAAAGATAAATAAAATATTGATTATAAATATAAAGATTAATTACAAAATAAAACAATAAATTACTCAACAAACCATCCTTTCTAATTGACTTGTTTGTAATCTTCCCCTTTCTCCTAAGTTGCTTCTCCAAACAATGTCTAATTTTCCAATATTTGTTGCATTGCGCATCATTTTCGGGTGTTTTAATAAACTCACCTGCGGTTTTAAACAATATAAATATTGTCTACTACAATCAGTATCTAATATATTAACTGATCCATAAATAGATTCTCCTTTTTCATTTGTATTTAATGTTGATACTAAAAACAAAAATATTTATCATAGAAATTTAGAATTATATTATTTGAATCATTAGCATATAGTGAACCTACCACTAAATAAATGAGATGATTCGAGTGAAACTTTTTCTAAGCATATTGGACCTGCTGTGAGATTCTGTATTTGTGCTTCAAGATATACTTCATCTGACTTTAAGAAAATTACATATTTAAAGACAAATTGCACTATTAAATATCATAAGCTTTTAAATATGTCCATTATACCGAAATTTGTCATCATATTACCTCTGCATTGTAAAATTTTGTTTTAACATCTAATGGTTTTACCACTTGAAACTTAAAATATTTTCTGAAAGATTGTGGAGAGGTACCTACATTTGTAGGAGTATAAGTAACTTCACATACTAGTCTGCAAAAATGCATTAGCTAATTATTTACTAAACATGTGCTATAATTTTTGGAATTATGTATTCTTACATGTGTGTGCCTATTTCTTTTACTTCATGATGGATAACAAAATCAACTGTATTGTCAAGTGCTAAATCTTCCATTTCTCCATTACTACCACAAAGAGAAATAATTTGAGTACTTGTTTGTAAATCTGCCTGTAGTATAAAATGTTATTAAGTATTACTCATAAATTTTATATGTTCCATTTATGTCTATTATTATCAACTTACTTTAACAGCAACATTTTTTACTAACTGGGTACTACCATTATGTACACAAAGGTAACTTGAAAATATTTCACCTAGATAAATATTTCTGAAAAAATATATACATAGATGTACTTTTAATATTAAATTGTTTCTCATAAAATTATATTTAGTTATGATAAGTGTATACATACAATATTATATTATGCTATTTTTGGATACAAAGTACAGATAAGTGGTTAAAAATTTGGTATATTTAAAAAATTAAATCAGTGGAGAATTTTATTTCAATACATATTCATGTTCATACCCAAAACTTTGAGGTAATACCATGAACTGTCCTACTGTAAGAGTTTCCATTCCTTGCAAAGCAGTGCAATCATTTTTAAGTTCATAATTTAATGTATTACCAGGAAGATCTGTTGAATCACAAGTAACAACTACTGGACTTGCAAGAGTAGGTCTTGTTAATCTCATTACTAAAAATAATGCAAAGTTAAAGCATAATTATTACTCTTACTCATATAATTAATATTACAATAAAATAAAAAGTATGTCTATTTTTCTAATTAAATTTAAGATTATAGAAGAATTGTTTTAATTACCTTTTAATTCTAAGAGATGTTCACTTTTTGGTTTAGTTTCCATTTAGATTATAAGTGATAAACAGCAAACAAGTGTAAAAGATATATCTTTGTTGTCAAATAACAGAGACTGTCATGAAATGTCACTTAGGAAATATAACCTGTGGTCCTGTGGTGTAGGTAACATTCGATTCTATTCGATTTAACAAATCGTTTTTACAGATTCAAAAACAATTACAAATGAATAAATTCGAATGAAGTGTGAAACAAGTGAAATAAGCAACAAAGTATTTTAAACTTTTAAAATATTTGTAACAAAAATTTGTAACAATAAATAAATTCTTTAATGTTTAATAAAGTGTTTAAATACTATGCTACATAGAATATGAAAAATTTTTAAAGTACAGCATTGTTAAAAATAGTATTAAAAATTTCAAGATGCATAATATAATTGAAACTTCACAAGAGGGCGTATATAATGCACCATGCGTGGTATTAATAAACGTATCTAATGCATTTGTATTTTAAAGATTGTTGCGCTTGTTTTCAATTGTGAGATAAAACTGTAACGATAATGGAAATAACATTTTAATTCATATGTACTTCGTTTTGATTTAAATGTTTCACTTAAGTTAATATTCTTCAATTTGTGATGTTTACATTTTAAGAGCAAATAGTAAACAAAATGGATTGTTTTGTAATATAATAATCACGAATTCACGCACATTCAATACGCTATTTGTTAAAAAATACAATCACAAACATTATAAGAATGTGATATTCTACAACTTGTTTATCATTTCAATTAATGATAATTTTTAATAAAATAATATGATTATGTGGAATGGCTGAATTGCATATAATTGGTCGAATTTCGTCTGCTAAAGATTTTAAACAACCACGAATTTTATGCAAATGGAGTTTTCATGCTGGTAAAAGAATCAGTTAATGTTATTTAAAAGAAAAACTATTATATATATAGCTCCATCTTTTTAGGTAATGGTTGGAAAGTTTTAAATGGTTGCGAGGAAGGACAAACTCAAGAAAGTTGTGACTTATACACTGATGAACCAGTTTGGGATCATCCCATAGATTTGCATTATACTACACAAACTCTTCAAAATTCACCAAAACTTTTATTACAAACATTTTGTAGAGATACACATGGAAGAATATTATTTGGTTCCTATGGTATTTGTAACATTCCTTTATCTCCTGGATTGCATTGTATAGAATGTCATACATGGAAACCAATTGGTAAGTTAAATCTTTTCTAAAAACATTTAATATATGCTTTCATTATATTGTGTCTTATTCTTAATACATAGGTAACTGGAAAGATAGACTTAGGGATAAGTTTTTGGGAGTAACTTTACAATTAAAATCACCAAGTGCTTTAGTTAATTCTTTGGATAGATTTCAGTTACTTACTGAAAGTATGGGTACAGTTAAAAGTGAATTGTATATAATTTCAAGCAAGAATATTTATTAATAACTATATTCTAAAATATAAAACATACACAAAATTACCAAAATGTTTACAAAGAAATTGGTGTTAATGTTTCTTTATCTTATGTTATATGAATTAACATGTGCAAAAAAACTTGAAGACATATTTACATGTGCAAATGAGACAGATTGTGATGAATTAATAGAGGAAGATACTTTAGAAGAAGCATCAAGTACTGTGGCTGAAAATATTTATGATACAATTAGTACTAGTACAAGTAGTTCTACATATCCAACACAAACTCCAAAAAGTCAAATAATACCAACTACACAGACATCTCAAAAAATTAAGTATAATAATGAAATAAGAAACTACAATATACATAAAATGCATTCTGATGTATGTAAATGTGATTTAACAGTAAGTTTATATATTTCACAATATTTAATATTTAATATGAAAGGTAATATAATTTTTAAAAGTAATGCAACTTGTTTTGTGTATACAATAGGTATCATCTTGTGATATAAATTGTTGTTGCGATCAAGATTGCAATGACTTCCATTTAACTGTTTTCTCCCATTGTGAAAATCATCAGGCAGAATTATTTGATAAACGTTATTGTTATAACAAAAATTTTATACAACGAAATAACACACCATTTATACTGGAAAAGTTAGCAAATAATCTGTTTTGTATTTTGTATGATAATCTTCCACCAACCTACAGTGTTAACAATGAATTGGTAAAATTGAAGTATATTATAAATGTTAATTGTATTATACTGTAAAATTGTAGTTATTTAAGTTTTCATTTTATATAGAATATAAAAAGTGAAAAGGATTTAAGAGAAGCTGTAAATCCAAATAGACTGAAATGGAAATGGAAAGACCAATTACATGTACCTGAATATAATATTTCTAGTCCTTATCAAGATGATGACATTATGTGGATAGTACACAACAATTGTATTCAGCCTTTTGGTATATATTATATATTTACTATTATTAAGACTTTATTTAACGAATATCATTTTATATGCATTCTTTTATAAATTTAGAAATATTACAATCAGGATTTACCGAATTGTGTTCTTTTAAAAAAACTTTAAAATACCTTCGTGAATGGAAAGATAAATGTTTGCAAACGGAATTGAGTAATACAAATAAGTATCTGTTTCCTAGAGCTTTTAATAATTTTAGTATCATTGCATCTACTCATTTATTAAATGAAACCTACATTGAAGTACTGGATCAGGTACATAAAAAACAATAATATTAAAAAAAAAAGATATATAATTTTATTAAATTGTATGTTTTTTCTCACTTACAGATTTGTCCAAGAAACGTGTGTTTAACACTTACTAGTTACTATTGTAAGCAGTCTTGGAAAACATGTAATAATAGTACCTTATTAGGATCTTGTTTTAATGGAACGTGTTACAACATTGTAACAGGTGTAAAATATTTGATTGTTCACAATGGTTCTATGGGAATTAACAGCGTTAATGTATACTTTATTATAAGTAATGTTTCTCATCATTTTTACCAACAGTTCGAAGTTACTTATGAATGGGTCGAATTGGATAAACAAAAAAGTTTTTTTTTAAGCGGTAATCCTGGTTACATTGTTGGAAAGCCGTTAATTATCGGTACTTTAAAAATTAATAAGACTAATAACATGGAAACTAGATATATCAACTTTAATAGGACTAATAGTTTTCTGACATTGCCTATAGCTACAAGAAGTGGTGAATGTAATGATATTGATAGATATACTCTTGCCTTTGGGGAAGATGTTAAATTAAAATGCTCCGTATCTGTACATACTAATAATTTCAGTACAACATCTTGTATGGAATTACAAAATCTTACTATGCACTTTTTAATGCAAGATTCTTTATTTAATGTTACTCAAACAGATCAATATAATATTTATATTTCTAAGACAGGCAATTTTTCTAGTAATAATACTGCTGATTGGGTGCAAATTTTACTTAATAGAATACCTCAAAGTGTTATAATAGGACAGGTGGTTAATGGTCGGTTGAGTTGTTCGGGACTAATAACATCTATACATTTGAACATTTTATATTCTACTTTAGCAAAACTTGAAACATTAACTAATCATAATGTACTAGGAATTGGTATTACATTCACTGCAGAATATAATACATCTTGGTCCAAGTGTTTAACTGAAAACTGTACAAACATACTTAAAACAGATGTTGTTAGTTATGTTACATTTCACGACATATCAAAGCCATCCAAGTATTATTTTGTAGGAGGCCCCAACTTGGATCTTACATTGCCATATGACTTTTTTTACCCTTTTTTAAGTAGTTCAACATGTGTTAAGTCAAATATACTTTTATTTAATGCAATATTGAGCGTGATTTTGCACATTTCATTTTATTGATCTCATGTATTTATTACACCATCATGTATCTTTATTAAAATATTTAAAATATCATTATATGAACTATGCACATAAGATATACTGAAAATAATATTACATTTATAAATAAATGAGAAGATTCATAATATGTAAACATTATTTTATAATATAATCCATTTATTTCAATAATGCAATGCGTGTTTAAAATAAATTTAAAGTGCCTTCTGATGATGTGATTAATTTTTTAAATACAAATTATAAATTGTATTTCTGGTTATTATTTTTAAGTGTGCCCATGTAACTAATTAATTTTGTCTAATCCAATTTATTTAACAAATTTCAATTACAATATAAAGTTACAGGTTTCGTATTTAAACTTAATATCTTTACTATGAATTGGGAATATAATACAAACACATCGATTACTGTGATTTGATCCAATGGTCCAGTAACATTTTAGAATAATATGAAATGATTGGTTAAAAACTGTAGTGAATGCATTTCAAAAGAATCATTATAACACAGAAGAAAATTCACTAATAAAGTCTTAACCAATGAGAGAAGTATATTTAAATTATTCACCAATCAGGAGCGCCTTCATCTTTCCTCTATAATCTTGCCACTGTAAACTTGGTACGAACTCCTGCAACTGTCGTGATGCACTATGGGACGTTGGGTTGTGCTTCGCTCCAATACAAGATGGCTGACACTTGTTAGTGGTGTATTTTCGTTTTATCGAATGTGCATTTTATAAAAAAATCAGTGCCTTCGTATCCACGTATGGTGCATGCATGTTTGCATAACTAGTACAGAAGAGGTCTTCCTTTTTTTACCAAATAGTTTCCTTATCATGTATTATCAGGAGACATCAAAATGTGCCGTGAAAGTGCTAGAGACAGAATAATTACCCGTCACCAGCCATATTCATATGTGTTCTTTTGTTATGACAATTGTGATATAATTCTCGTGGAATATAGTGCCAAGGTGAAGTGATATCTCGCTTTGTTGCGCTTCTACACCGTCATTGGTGTTTCGTACAAGATTCGTTCCACTACGAAATAGATTAAATGAAAGGTATGTATTTACTCTATCCTCTTCGATACGCCTATTCGCGAGTCATTCTTGAAACCTTATATCCGTGTATTTTCTCTTTTTTCTATTGTCCTTTTTTTTGTTTTTTACATGCTTACAAAGTATAAGAACCGACTGACCTATTAACCTGTTATATCGATTAACGTGATGTCATGTATGATTTCTTAGTTTCTCTTTGACATATTCTTTGAATTTTAGTCGCTGTCATACATTGTTTTACTGTTTCTTAAAATCAAACAATTTCCAATTGAGGGTTTCTTAATAAGACGCAGCGAATGATTATAATAAAGCCATGATTTTTATTATCCGATTAACGTAATACTTATCCGTACAAATTCGATTGTTTACGATACTTAAGTGTAAAAAGTCTTACAGTTCAGGGACGGTATAAGCAAACTAAACATGGCAGTAACATTGGTAATGAAATTTAATCACAACGCGTTGTTAGACAGAAAGTATTTCGTTTTAATTTGTGTTAAAAGACATTCCTAAAATATTTTTTATAACGATTAAACATGACTAAATTTTTTAAATGCTTCATTATTCGCCTCACGTCAAATATATTAATTCAATATGTTCAGTTTACTCGTTAAATGATCTTAATTATTTTAATTCAAATATTTTGTTCATACAAATGTTCATATTTTATTGGAAAACAAAGTAATATTTTGTTAATGATGCACTGAATAATCTGTAAAAATTATTATCGAATATTCATATGATTGTTGAAGGGCAGATTACAGTATTAAATATCCTTAATCGCAGTCTACGTTTTTTTTTTTTTTCAGTGTTTAAAAATCTATCGTTTCCGTTATTCATTTATTAGTCACAGTGTAATTGTTACGAAAGAGTAGCGTCAATAATCTTGATGTTGTTTTAAATGCAATAATAAGCAAGAAAATTGATCGGAATATCATTACTGCGCACGATTTGTTCAAAATTCGCCATATGAGTATTTGACTCACGTCTGACACGAAGCATGTAAATCACGAATGTGATATTGAAGTTACGGCCGAAATACTAAATCAATCTTACAGCAACCTGGTGCTATTTTTCACAAATTTTAAACAACTCCAACAAATTTTCTATGTGCATCGTGTTCATTAATCACGGCAAACATTTTTGCGGTGTATTGAGACATAGAAAAAAGCAAAATGGCTGATGACTTTAAACAAAGCAAAATACTTCACATTTCGTGGAAACTTCATCTCATGTTTAAAGTTACTAAATTTTCCTTTTTATACCTTCGTTAGGAAGGAAATATCTTACAGAAAGATTACTCTTAATTTTTTATACCTTTTTCTATTTGTTAAATTCTTTATGAAAAGTTATTCTTCAAGAAATCTCAAGTTTTTACAGTAACTACGTATACAGAATCACTGCAATAATACAAGTAATTTTTATTTCTTGTATTATTCTTAAAAAATATATAATAAATTGTAAAATGTACACGTATTTTGTTGAAAATATTACTCTAATGTTAAATTGTACTGCATAATAATTCAGCTTCATAGATATTTTTTGTCAATGGGACTGAACATTATGAAATATTGTTTTTTCAAATAAGATTAATAAAACATCGAATTGTAGTTTACCCTTATTATCCTAACCTAATACTTAATTCCTCAGAATGTAGATTAAAATACATAATTTATTCTTTTTGCCCTTTTCTTTAAGCAAAAGTAAGATTTACCAAGTATTTAATTTTTAGGTTAATTTCACGAATAATCATAATTTGTCAATTGTCAGATTGGCTTGCTTCAGTAGCGTATAAAATAATTCACAGTTTTGAAGTTTCCGTCGGATATTTAGAACATGTGGGCAAAAAGAATAAAATCCCGTTGAAGTTTTCTCGTCCTTGATAAAATCTGGGCATCGAGTGCATTAACTCCTTCGAACGCAGTCGTATTACGGTGTACCATTTATACAGAATTAATTATCATTTAATTTTCAGTAACGTTTCTTCACCGTTTCGTTCTTGCATTTAAAAAAACTTTTTCATACGAATATCTTTTGAATATTCCACGTTGAACGCTGTTTAAAAGAAAAAATAACTATATGTTTATTCATTAGCGAAGATCATCAACATTGTATAATAAACAATTAAAGAAAACGATTTCTCTGTTCAACGAGTAATTAGGAAAAATTGCAAAATACAACATAGAAAAGCAGAATAATTTTCATGGTAGGAAAATTAATTTGCCTACTTTTAGCACGATCATATCTGCCGTTCTAGAAATTAACTTCGCGTATTTTTGTCGCCGAAGGGGAATTAGTGCAAAAATTTCGTTTCGTCAAAAAGTATCACCAATCCGAAGGTAGAGTTATGTAAAAATATATGCATAATTATCATGTTAATTAGGATTGACAATAATTGAGATTTGAAACACTAATTTATTTATGATATTGTCGAAATGTTTGCTTCTCGGCATTTAGTTAATTAATTGCGCGCACTTACTATCAGGAGAGATGATACGAAATGCTGGTGTACAGATATTCAAATGACGTATACAATTTTATTTTATTTCCATATGCTGGACAGATTTCAGTCGGATGTGTTCTTAAAATATTTCAGTCGGATAAGGGTTAAATATGCATCTACTAGGCCAGTCTTGTTCTATTTTAAGAATAACTAGTACAGCATCAAAAATATATCTCGATATGATTATGAGTTTTTCATATGAAAATAGAACGTTTTGTTGGAAACAAGAAAGAAGTAAAATTGTATTTTAGAGTTTCGTTTGTATGAACGTAATAAACGTATATAGGGGAGCCTTTAATGAATTACGATGTACACAATGCGAATCGTTAACTCTTACTAATCATGTTTCACCGATGTTTCGATGAGCTTTCGTAGCTATAGTTACACAGTTAGGGTAGTTATCGAGACGTAAGTTTGAAACCACTTGCAATGATTATTTGCATAAGGTATGAATAAGGTACTGTATTGGAGATGAAAACTGTTCATTCCTTTGTTATTAAAGATACGAATAAATCGTGAAAATAAAGATCGACTGTTTTTAGAAAACATTTTTTTTTTCTCAAAATTTGTCGAATTTAAGGATAGTGAATGGGTACAAAAGTATATTTTAATATTAGCTCTTCTTAATACTGCAGTATTTCTGCGATAAATTTTGTCAATTTTCTCTCATAAAAATGAAATTTGAATTTTCTTGACATAAAAATTCAAGGAAATTGAAATTTGAAGACTGTAGTCTTTCAGTAACAATATTCATGAAAACAGTATATTGAAGCACATATTTTATTTACTTCAATTTCACGAAATAACAAAAATGAAAGAAAGACAACTAAAAAGAAAGTAATCCTTCTTCTTTTGCTGTTCTCACGAAACCATTTCTGCTTTGTCTTAAGCATTTTTTATCATCAACAGAAACGGAGATAACTACTTTATTTTCGTCGAATCGCATTATACATTTAACTTCAACTATCACGATTTTTGATACATCTTCACGCAAATTTCTTGCGACAGAAAATATTTAAATAACTCGATTTTTTAAAACAAGAAGCGTTACGTCGTAACTTGAAAAATAAGCCTTTAACCGAGTTACTTCTTTACCGGCTTTTTAATACCGAAAACGATAAACGAAAAAAGACATTTAACAAACATATTTCTGCAAACATTTATTACCGGTGTTAATCATTTTGGGTGGAAAATAATTTCAACGTACAGAGATTAAAAGAATTGTTTCACCGTATTTGTTTTTTTACCGTAACTCTTTTTTCTTCTTCTTCATTTTATGCTGTTTCGTTAACGAGTCCTTTCAAGAAGAACAATTTCGTTCGTTTTGTGCAACGATTGTTTGAAAATTGTTAGACACACGTGTAAATCGTTAGAACGTCGAGGGACGACACCGTAATAAATAATAATTAAATACGAACGTAAAATGTATATAATTATAAGCTCGAGAAAGTTCATAGGAACGACAGACATAATCTGACTGATAAGGGGACATGATTATTTATTAGCTTCGGACGCGGTGAATGATCAAACATCCTGCATTCGTTAAGAAGCGATTATTCTTCGAAACATAACAGTTGTTTTAATTCAGATACATTCCTTTTTCTTCTTTTGTAATCGAGATTTGTTAATTAAGGTAAAATGTTTCGTATGCTCGAAAATTCGAAGAAAAATCACAGTGTGGTTCATCTTCTGTGTTGCATTTCGTACATTGTACTTCCAACGTATCTACAAGAAGGCAACATTTATAGATAAAAGTTCGAAGATACTAGATAAATTATATCATAACTGTGTATTATCGCTTCGGCATTAATGTGATGTTGCGAATAAAGATTAAAAGACCACGATTCAGCGAACGATTATGCAATACTAGTATATATGTACCAAGAATTGAGTTCAAAGTGTAAGATTTTAGGTTGAACAGAGATATTTTTAATGTCTCTTAGAAGAGGTTTTTTTTAGACGAATTAATTTAATATTTAATTACTGTCGATTTCGTAATTATTTAAAT